CCCTGTCCTTGCAGCCCCAGAGCAGACATGCTAGGGAGCTCTAACAATGCATAGAAGAGAACACATGGGGCCTGGTGAGTGCAGGAGCCCCCAGGACTCTGGGAGCCTGTCCCAACACGTTATGTAAATGACCTAGCCCCAATTGTTCTAGCTCTGGCCAACCCCAAGTCCATCAGCATCTGGCTCTGGCCTATCAGCCTACTTCAGGACAATGTCCTGAGGAAGTCATTGGGAGCCCCTGGGCTGCGGCTGACCTTGAACATGGCCCAACCTCGCCCTCCTCCCATGGGACTCCCAAACCAGGAGGCAGCCAGCTGGGGCTAGGGTTGGGGCCTGGAATCCAGGCTACAGAGACAGTTTCTCTCCTGGAGACAAATTACAGTCCCTCCCCCCAACTCCCACCCAAAAATTAGCAAGGAAAGAAGCTCACTTCCCTCTGGACTACTCTACCCTCTCCCTGGCTGCCTTCCCACTCTGGAGAAGCCTCTGCCCTGCAGCTGCTCTCCTCTCCTGGTCCTCGAATCCCTCACCTGGACCACCACTTTTCAGAAGGGATCCTGGCTGTGTTTATTTCTGACCCACTTCCCTCTTTTCCTCCACCTCCTCCTCTCCTGGCTCCTTGCCCTCCCACTAGCTTCTCTTGTTGGGTTGTCTTCCCCTTACTAGAATGTAAGCTTCTTAAGGGCAGGGACTGCCTTACTTCCATTGGCACAGTGCCTGGCACATGGTAAGCACTTAATAAATACTCCCTCTCTCTCTGCCTCTGTAGCTACAGAAGTCTCTGCCCATTCATACTACTGTATGTGTGGTCCTACTGCCCATGCCCATACCCTGGGATGGAGAGTAAGCTCCGTCCATACAGTCTGGAGAAGCACTGTGGCCTGGACATGGCCACAGCTTCGTTAGAGAATCATCCTCGTTCTGGTGCTCCTTCTCTAGCCTTGACCCAGCCCAAGCCAGACCAGTGGGAACATTCCCACTTTCCATATTCATGACCCAAGAGGAGGAAAACCAGGAGCCCCCCAGGCCAGCGCAGACCAGAGTGAAGACCTGCACTCAGCACAGTGGGGACCCAAGCCTGGACAAAGGCCACGGCAGTCCACTGTTCTTCCCAATCTCCAGCTGCCTCTCCCTCCACGCCCACCCCTTGCCAGTCCCCATCACACACTCTACTCTGTGCCTTGCCACACACAGCTGGTCTGAGCCAAGCCCCCTTCCTACCACCTGACCAGCCTCCTCAGAGGGTGGGCTTTCCAGTCACTAACCCCAGGAAGCCTCAATGAGTCCAAAAAAGGGAAGCATTCTGGCTTTATGGCCCACCACAAGAGGGTTTGGGGATGGCTCCCTGGCCTCAGTCCACAGGGGTCGAAGCAGCTCCTCACTGTTGGCTGTCCTCTGTGGACAGCACCTTGGCTGCCTGAGAACCTTTCTCTCCTATTTTATAAGCTGGGAGGAGACACTGAAATCAATCATCTAGGGCCAACTTGTCCTGGGGCCACTGTCTGGAGACCGTCATGAGGACGGGAAAGCCCAGGGATGCCAGAGTCCAACACCTTAGAGGCCGGCAGCATCCCACGTGTCTCCCCTCTCCGCTGGCATGGTCCGTGGCCGTCCTTGGAGGAGATGGGGCTGATGGGCAAATCTCCTGCTCTGCCCCCTCCTCGCTCTGGGCCCCCTGCTTCCCTCCCTGTAAAACAAGGTAGGGGAGGCCCAGGCCTTTCCAAAGGCCTATTCGGGGATGACTGGACAGGCAGAGGCTTCTCCCTACCGTCTTCTACTCACCCTGGCTGCTTTGGATGAGCATTGGGAATGAAGAAGGGGCAGAGGAGACCCCAGCATATAGATCTCCTTTCCATGTGCGACCTCACACATGCTCTGTGTCCACAACACACGTGACGTGTCTGTTCCTGGGACCACAGGGCCATCCAGGGTGAGGTGAGACAAGGTCACAAAGTTGGGGGCGTTAAGTGGTTTCCCAAAGTCGCACGGCTGGGAAGAAGCCGAGCTGGGGTTTGCGCCCGGTGTCTCCAAGACTCCCCCACTAACGCTTGCTGCCTCCCTACCTCCTTACAAGCTAGATGGGAGCTCAGAGGCCCCTGGTGGGATCAGGAATCCCCTCTCCAGGGTCCCAGTGAGGGATCATTCACCCAGCCTCCACTGGAAGCCCTCCCATGATGAGAAACTCACTCCCTGATGAAGCAGTCTATGCCAGGCTCAGGCAGCCCGAATGGCCCAAAGCCTCTGACCGAATGGATCCTTGATGCACATGCCCCCTGCCCCCCCCACCAGCCCTAGTTCTGACCTTCAGGCCTGAGCAGAGGAAACCTACTCTCCCCCTGCCCTCAGTGATCCTACGGGATTAGACCCCCAGAAACAGGCCCCCTACCTGACATCCCCAGCGAGCTGTCTTCTGGAATCTGCCCCCTGGAATTCTCCCACTGTGTGCTCCCAAACGTGTCTGTTAAAGGCCCAGTGCTGGCTGGGACCGTGGGACAAAATAAAAACAGCCCTGCCCAATGCCAGAGGGGTCAAGTGGGGGCCAAACCCCATTAAAATGTCGTTCCAGTCTCACCTGAGTGTGTTGGCGTGTTAATAAAAGAAGAAAGATGGAAGCATGAGGTTTTCTAAGTTACCATGAGCCAGCAGGGATCCCCGGGCATTGTCTACTCTTCCTGCTTTTATCTGAGGGGGATGCCAGTGGCTGTCGCCGAGACTGTTTGGGTTTCCCTCTTCCACCAGGTGCCGAGGGCATGGGCTGCACCAGGCCCCTCAGGCCCGCAGTCAGGCTCCTTGGCCTGCTGCAACCTGCCAAACATGCTTCTGGCCCCAGCACCTCCAGCCCTGGGAAGCTTTCCCTGATTGCTCCTGCCACAAGATCCTTCCCCTTCTCAGGCATTCCCAGAGGGCTTTGTTTGGACCTCAACTTTATCCTCAGGCGGCTCTCCCAGGGAGCCCAAAGCCCCTCAAGGGCAGAGCTTGGCTCCCATTTGTGTCTGCCCCCACCAGCCTCTGTCCGGTGCCATTGGCCAAAGGTTTGTGGTTGGTTTTCATCGGTCAGCTCCTCTCCAGAGCCCGGCTTCCCAACCTTTTCAACTCTGTTTTGTATGTCATCTTCCCCTGTTAGAATGTAAGCCCCATGAGGGCAGGGAAAGGTTTTCTTTTTGCCTGTATTTGTATTCCCAGAACTTAGCATCTACTAAGCACATAATAATAATGTGTGATTACATTACCTAATAAATGCCTTTCCTGCCTCTGTCTCTCCTGCTACCTCCTTTTCCCTCCTCCTCCTCCTCTCTGTCTCTCTGTCTCTGCCTCTGTCTGTCTGTCTGTCTCTCTTGGGTCCAAAGGTAAGTGTATCTCACACACACAGTCAGTGGCTAGTGGAGGTGTTGGGAGTCCTTTAGGATTGGGGTGACCCAGGAAGGCTTCTCAAAATAGGGGGCTACAGAAGCCAGTGAAGGAGTCTGAATTTTGAAAGAAATAGAGGAGCAGAGCTATGGCCGAGGTCCGGAGAACCATCCGGCTGGAAGAAGAAATGCAGGGCTCCCGGAGGGAGGGGGATGGGAGCCAGAGTCAGAGGAGAAGCAGGTCCCAAGCGCCCTGGCAGCTCCTGGGCTGAGCCTCGGGCTGTGCATGTCTCTCATGCTCTGTTTGCTCCCGTGTGGAGCACTTGCTGAGGCGGCTAGATTTCTGTTCTCCCCCGGCAGTGTGGCTTCCAGTGTGGGAAGGAGGCAGCCCTCCAACCCCTGGCATGCCAGCCAGCCTGCTGGCATTGCCCCAGAACCCAGCATGGCAGGCCAGCTGGGCAGACAGTAACCAGACAGCCAGCAGCCCCTCCCTGGAGAGGCTCCCTCAGGAAGGTGAGAGCCAGGGTCTTGGAGAATGTCTGGAAACACTAGATAACAGGCAGTGTTTCCAAAGCCCCAGCTTGGAGAGCTGGGAAAGGGGACTTTACCACAGCTCCAGCTGCACCGAGAGCAGAAACAAGCCATGGGGGTGGGAGAGGGCACCCCTCCAGCTCATTCTCAAGCCCTGTGCTGTTTGTTGACCTTGGCACCAGTGTGGGGGGAAGGGAGTACCAGGAACCTTTGTCAGTTACTCAAGGACTGAGAGCGTGTGAAAGATGCTTCGACCCCCCTTCACTGCTCTGGCTCTTAGGACTGAATCCCTGAAAGCAGCCCAGGCTCCCAAGACCCCGGAGCTGGAGAGGGAGGGGAGGGGGGCACTCGGAGGCCATCTGTCCAGCATCCTCATTTCACAGACAAGGACACTGAGGCCCAAGGAGGGATAGGGGCTTGCCCAAGGTCACCCAGACGCAGAGTTAGGATTCCAACTCAGGTACCCTAAGGCCAAACCCAGCGCCCTTTCTCCCCTAGGCCATGGTGCCATCAGGACATAGGGACAAGCCCCAGATCTGGGACCTCACTGGCACAGAGAACTCTGAGCTGAGGAAAGTCCTTCCACCAGCGCAGATCAGAAGCTGTTCTAGAACCAATCCTCTCAGAATACTGCTAAGAGAGCAAGGAGAGACTGAGTGACTGGCCCAGACTCACACAGCCAGGATGTCAGAGGCAGGTCTTCTCAGCTTCTGGGCTGACCCTCCCTACTCTGCACCAGGTAGCCTGCTGCAGAAACATGCAACACAGCACCTCAAAGAACCCCAGAAGCTCCAGGTTGGAAGGTTTATCCAAGTTAGAGGTGATGAGGGCTCGAGCTAAATGTGAGTGTGAGAGTGTGTATGAGTGAGTTGTGTGAGTGTGTGAGTATGACTGAGAGTATGAGTGCATGTATGAGTATATGTGAGAGCTGTGTGAGTATATGTATGAGTGTGTGAGTGTGTATGAGTGTGAGTGCATGTGTGTATGAGTGAATTGTGTGAGTGAGAGTGTATATGAATGTGAGTGTGACTATGTATGAGTGTGTGAGAGAGTGTGTATGAGTGTGAGTTCATATGTGTTTATGAGTGAATTGTGTGAGTGTGTATGAGTGTATAAGTATGTGTGTATATGAGTGAGTTGCATGTGTGTATGAGTGCATGTGTGTGCTGCCCTGTCTATGTGGGATACCAGGGACCTTGCATCAGACAAGCCTCCCACTCCCCCCCAAGTGGATTTGTCCCTGGTGCTGGAATACTTCAGGAGGGCTCAGAAGTCAACAGACACTGGAGTTCTGAGGACCAGGGAAGGGATGAGGAGAAGAGGCAGAGTTCTCCCTCCCCCAAGGACTGAGGGGGATGGGAATGCCCTCTGTCTGCAGGACCCCTTAGCGTGTCAGGGAGTGGAGGGACCCCTTGGCCTCAACCACTCATCACAGAGGAAGAAACAGAGATGGCAGCAGACCCAGGGGGTGGCAGGCCCCAACAGACCTGCAGTGAGGCCAGACTCTGTAAGCCAAGTGGGTTTTAGGAAGCCTGGTGATTTCTGAAAGCCATTCTCTAGGAGCCTGGAAGGAGGGTGTATGGAATGACAGCACAGTCAAGATGGGAGGATTGGCAGATTGGGATGTCCGGCACCATGGAATCGCGTCTCTGCCCCTCCCAAGAGACACCTCTGGTCAGAACTGGTGCAGACATCCACTGTGAGCGGATGGATGTCAATTTTAGCCACAGTTTTGCCTTTGACATATATGTACAATAACAATGCCCCTTACTATGTGGTCCCCAAGCCCGGGCTCAGCCCCCTCACCCATCCCCTCGGTTCTACAGACAGAATTAGCCCCATGGGAAGACTGCAAAGTCCAAATAGAGACTCTTGTCTGGTGCCAAAGTGAGCCAAGCACAAATCTGACTTTGCAAGAAGAGAATGCTGGACTCACACAGAGATGGTGAGACCACGACAGAGGTGGCCCCAGGGCAGCCTCTCCATGGACGTATGCGTGGGGCCCTGGATGGCTGCACCGTGGAATCTTTATCCACCACCTCCCAGACTTCCAATCTCCAGGGCAGTTTGACAAAACAAGTCCCCAGATGATGTATCTGACACATTGTTGCAGCTAGATGAGAGGCTAGGTAGCCAAGATTCGAGAGTGCTGGGAAGGCTCGACCCAAAGGTTTCTCCTTCATGAAATGATGGAATCTTGGAAGGAAGATGCCCCAGGGATCTGTGCCTGGTCCCTGGCCAGGGGCCCTTGCAATGGGTGACTCGGATGAAGATGAAGAGGCAGCACTCCTCAGATACGTACAGGGACAGCAAACCTATGGGAAGACACAGGAGGATTCAGAAAGATGGGGTCAGGTGAGAAAGGTGGGCCCCATAGAATAAAATGACCCAGACTAGGGTGGAATAGAGACAAACATTCCAAGACCAGCTCTGCAAGTATCAAGTGAGAGGAGGCGGGGCTGCAGAGACTTCATCTGAAGGGTGAGGCAAGCCTCCTGGACTGTTTTCTCAGATCTTCATCAAGGGGACCTTCTTTGCTCATATAGACCCTTCTCCTAAAGAGTCCGTGAAGAGGAAAAAGCAGGTCCAGGAGGCAGGGCAGCCATTCACCATGTGTTCTAAGCTCTTCCTCTTGAACCGTCACCCTCATAGCTGGCACTGAGATGGTGCTTTAAGGTCCACACTTTGCACGCATCGCCTCATTGGATGTTCCTGATCTCTCCCACCCTCCTGGAACCAACCCCTTTACAATCCACCCCTGGCTGCCATATCCAGCTCCTCCATGGCTGGGGGCTCGGTCCTGCTCTTCTTCCTAGCGTCCTCATCTTATCTGGAATTATGACTCTATCACATTGCACGCCAGGCTCAGAGAGGGCAGCGTCCAAATATGGTGCTCCCCCTTTCGCTGCTGGCAATAAAACCATCACTCAACCTGTTCTATTTCACAGTTGCTGGTTGCTCTCCCTCCTCTTCCTCCTCCTCCTTCTCCTCCCCTTTCTCTTTCTCCTCCTCCTCCCTCCCCTCCCCCTCCCTGTCTTCCTCCTCCCTTCCCCTCCCTCTCTTCTTCCTCCTCCTCCTCCTCTGCCTCATTTACTCTACACATCAGGACAATCTGGCCATGCTCTCGGAAGGTTTGTTTTCTCTCCATTTTTTTTTGGGGGGGGTGCTTCTTGTGACATTATACCTCTTACATTTTCCATCATCTTTTGTTTTTTTCTGGGTTAGACTCCAAGCCAGCATTGTCGTTGCCTCTTCTGCCTCTTCACTGAGAAAAGAGAGTTACTGTTTGCTGACTCAGTCTCTGGGTTTGGGCCTCCTATGATTGGCAGCCATTTTGTATGTTCTAAAGGTCTCTCTTTGCTTTTACCCACGTCCCATGGAGAGTGCAGCCTGGTGGATAGGCCACTGGCCTGGGAGCTAGAAGATGTACGTTCAAATTCTATCTCAGCCATTTCCTAGCTGTGTGGCCCCGAGCAAGCCATGAGAGCTTTCTTTGCCTCAATTTCCTTCTCCATAAAATGAGGCATGGGTCCAGCCTCTAGGGTCCCTTCCAGTTCTAAATCTGGATTTGGGATTTGATGACTTCTTCAGACAGTTCCAGTAAAAGCAGCTGGTGCCTCTTCTCAGCTCTCCTCTTTCTCTGCAGCCAGTGAGCTGATGGAAGCCTACAGGGGCCAGTTCCAAAATGGAAGCTGTAACTTGTCATTTCCTTCTGGACAAGCTACAGTGGGCTGTGTCCTCAGTGCCAGGGGCTCCTGTTCAGCATCCCAGTGTCTCTAATGCTCCTCTTGGAGAAAGCATTGGTCATGAGGCAGCCCCTCTCCTTGGGGGACCTAGATAGCAGCAGCTACAGCAAAGAGTTCGCTCTCTCACTCTCTCCCTCCCTTTCTCTCTCCCTCCCTCTCTCTCTCTCCTTTTTCTTTCTCTCTCTCTGTCTCTGTCTCTGTGTGTGTGTGTGTGTCTCTCTCTCTCTTGCTCTCTCTCTCTCTCTCTCTCTCTCTCTCTCTCTCTCTCTCTCTCTCTCTCGCTTTCTCTTTCTCTATCTCACCCCCCAAGCAGCCTTTATGTGAGGACCAAGGGCTGTAGATGGGACAAGTCCAGAGATGGCAGAGTCTCTGAATTCATTGCAGTGTGGGGGCCACAGGACATTGGGATGCCCCCAAGTTGGACCAGGATAAGGGAGGACAAGAAACCTGGAAGAAACTTTCTGAAATAAAACAGTGACCACGTAGAGTTGGAGGAATGGACGAAAAAGGGGAAAGAATGAAAATGACAGAGGAGGAAGCCAGAGACTCTCCCATATACCCCCCCCCCATATCCCTGCTCTTGGCCTTCCAGGCCTGGGCCAGGTGCTGGGCATGCAAAGACAAAAAAGTGAGCCAGGCCTGCCCTCGAGGAGCTCACATTCTCACACAGGCATGAATAAATCTATACAAAAAAATGACAAGGGGGGCAGTTGGTGCCCAGCACTTGGGGGTGTCAGCAAAGGCAGCCTGAGCAGAGTTGGCCTGCTGACAAGCCTCAGCTGAGAGGCCTCATCTGAAGGCCTGGGACCATTCTGGGCACTGCCCACAACCCATTAGTAGGGCTTCTGGACCACCATCTATTAACCTGGACTGCACAAGGCAGCAGGGATGGACAGACCATGAGGGCATTGCCAGTAATGCCAAAGTTCAGAGGTGCACCACCCCACCCACCACAGAACTCTTGAAGAAACAGCAGGGATGAGATGCCCATAATCAGTGAGCCATCATTGATTTTATAGGGCTTTTCCTGTTCCCCATTAGTAATTCAGTTTGCGGAGGGTTGTTCACATTACATTTCTATCTCAGGGAATGTAGCCCCTGAAGGCTACCCCCAGTCACGAACACAGCTCAGCCATGGGGCACGTGGGTGGACATGTTTTATGGAAACCCACTAAGTAAAGCCAGGTGGAGGGCGGCTCCCAGCAGTTGGTGGAGGTGGCCCCAATTCACCTCCCTGAGAAGAAAGTGGAGCCCAATTTTATGGCTCTGCAAATGGAGGTGCCAGGGAACATGGGCACTCAGCAGCAGCAGAGGGACTGGTATTACTAGACCGTCAGAGCACCAAGGGTCCAAAGGTCTCATTCCCCTGGTCCTCCCCACAGCAGTGAGCACTTGATGGGCCCAGTGAAGCTGGAACTGGGAAATATGAAGACCTGCCCTCGAGGAGCTTACACTCTTCAAGGGACACTCAGTACCCACACATATACTTCTGATACAAGTCCCCTTGTCACATATTTGACTCACAGAATCTTTGCCTGATCAAGAGACAGAGAGATAGTCAGAGACAGAGAAAGACAGGGACAGAGACAGAGAGCTAAGACCCATCTCTGGGCATTGTGCATCCCCAGGGCTCCACCTCCTGGCTGTGGGGCCAGAGAGAACCAGGCTATCCCCCTTTCACAAAACAGCCCCCAAGCCTTCCTACCCAGGAGCTCTGCTCAAAAGTGAGCTGGGCATTCTTTGAGGCGTGAGTGCATGCGTGTGTGTTCCCGTGCCCTCACCCCTGTGTTCAGAGAAGGCATCTTCCAGACAAGGAGGGACACACAGGGTGTGGTATGGTTTACAGAGACCAGCTCCTAAGCCAGTGGACAGTGGGGGAAAGCAGGCATGGGCCAGACTGGGGAAGGTTTGTGCTTTATCCTAGAGGTATTGGGAGCCAGTGAAGCATCCTGTAGGGGTGGCACAGTCAGACCCACACTTTAGGGACTCACTTTGGCAGCCCTGTGAAGGATGGATGGCAGAGAGGGCGACCAGACTCAGGAAGGCTAATGAGGAAGCCACGGCAACGGTGCCAGGGAGAGGGCTCAAGGCACTGACATTGGGCAGGAGCCCCATGAGTGGGCAGAGAGAAGCCTGTGGGGGCATCAGACTAAGGACAGGACAGCTCTGGGGGGTTGCCAGCATGATGCAGGCAGATACCCAGGGGAGTTGGGAAGTGCTCTTTGAAGAGGCTTTGAAGGACGGGGCAGAGTTTCTGGTTCAGACATTGAGATGCTGAAGAGATGCACACTAGTCCTGGTGGGTGATGGGGGCTGGAGCCCGGGGGGTTACACGCCAAGGACTCACTTATCACCAGATAAATGAGCCTTTGAGGGGCCTGAAGGACTAAGTCCTGCAGTGGGCTTTGCTCCCACCCCAAAGTACAAAGTGAAGGATGGTTCTGATGGTCGTTTGAATGCTCATTTTTCTCAAAGGCAGAGGGGTAATGAAGAACAAGGCATATCTCTCCCCAAAATAGACAGAAGCCCTGGAGGAATGTGAGTCAACAAGCAGGGAGATGAATGGACATCACAAATAGCAGCGCTTCTGGCTGCGAACGGCCGGTGACCTTTATGGAAACAGGGCAACGATGGCCAGGGCCAGGCAAGGGCAGTGCTCAAGGTCAGCCCAGCCTCAAGGCCTTCCTGTGTATTTTCAGGAGTCGGGCCCTGGCTTCCCTCCCCATGACATCTGCCGTCCCCGTCCACAGCTGAGCAAGAGGAACCGTCACCCTGTGCTCCACTGGCCCTGAGCACTCCCCCAGCTCCCAGCTCCCCAACAGTCAATGGTTCCCCATTGCTGACCAATGAGATTCATCTGCTATCTTCACAGGAGACCCTCTCTCACTGAGGGGGGACCTCAGGCAGGGAGTCCGCTCTTTGGGAAGACCCCAGACCTTTTCTCCAACTAGAGAGTTTCTCCATCAAGGAAGGAGGTGACCCTGGGGCATGTCCCCAGAAAACAGGCTCAGCGGCTCCTCTCCAACTTCAACATGGCTCTGGCAATGATTTCCATGCCTTTCATCTGAGGCCCAAAAAGAAGTGAGAGGAGGTGCTCATCTGGGGAAGGGCCCCCAGAAAGCAGGCCCCAGTGGATAAGCTCATCAGGGGAAGGGCCCCGAGAAAGCGGGCCCCTGTGGATGAGCTTATCTTGGGGAAGGGCCCCAGAAAATAGGCGCCAGCAGATGAATGGTTTTGGCCAAAACCACTCCAAGGATGGTCCATGAAGATGCACCACACATGGAACTTGGTGACTGGCAGAGGCAGAGAATAGGACAGACTCAGGCTTCCAAAGGTCTGGCTCACTCTCATCATTGAATTTGCCCTTGTCACCTGTGTGATTTTAAGTTGCCAGGATGGCGTCTCTCTAAAGCAGATAAGATCAGTTTGCCTCCAGGCTGGCAGACAGCTCCACCAGGTGAATGGTACCCAGTGTAGGGGATCACATTTAGGGCCACTTACCCCCATGGTAATAGGATCCTCCGGCTTCGGACCCTCCTATTGTGTCTTTATCTCTGAGGCCCCACAAGGCTCAGCCTCAGTTACAACGGTCTATTATTGGGTGGCATTGAATATCCCCACAGGAGGCAGCCCATCCGGCCCTCTCTGATGACAGGTCCATTCATTCCTTCAGTAAGCATTCACTACTCGTCACTATGTGCCAGGCAGCTGCCGTTCTATGGGTGGGGGATGGGAAAGGAAGGGTGTGGAGGGGTCAGAGGGAAGAAGACATCATATAAACAGACAAGTGTGCACATGACAACTTGGGAGGATCAGGAAAGGGGTTCCAGAGGGCTGAACCTTGCTAGAATCTAGGGAATCTAACACGTGAAGGTGGATGGTAGGCATGGAAGACAGACGAGGCAACAGCATGGAGGCCAGAGATGGAGAATGGCCCTGCTTGGATCCAGCATCAGGGGCCCAGCCCAGCTGGCCTGGGGGACAGCAGCAAAGAGAATGAATTTCTCTGTTCCATTATCCATTCTCACTGGCCAAAACCCAGCCAACCTCACACACTGAGAGAGAAAGGGAGGGAGACAGAGAGACAAAGACAGAGAGAGAGAGAAACAGATAGACAGACAGACAGACAGAGACTGAGAGATAGAGACAGAAAGAGACAGAGAGACAGGGAGAGGGAGACAGAGACAGAGAGACAGAGACAGAGAGACAGAGACTGAGAGACAGAGACAGAGACAGAGACAGAGACAGAGAGACAGAGATAGAGAGAGAGACAGAGAGACAGAGATAGAGAGAGAGAGAAAGAAAGACAGAGACAGAGAGAGAAAAACAGACACAGAGAGAGAAGAGAGGCAGAGAAAGCTGAAGGTAGCTAGCAGCCTAGAAAGGGCCCTGGAGGAGAAGCCAGGAGACCCTGGAGACCAGCACTCTGTGTGACTGCGGTCGAATGACTTCCCTCTGGAGGCTGCCTCAGTTTCCTCCTCTGCACAGTGAGGGGGTGGGGCCAGTGCTTGTGACTGACAGGGTAGTCTGTGAAGTCCCTCTTCCATCCTGAGTTCTCAGTAGGCTCTGGCCCTGGAGGAATCAGTCACCCTGGGTGGCTTTGGATATTCTGCCTCGATTTTCTCTAGAAGCACCATTTCCTTCAGTGACTCCCCTTGGGCAGATCGGGCCTCAGGAGCAAACGTGGCTGATCTGCAGGCCGTGTGGCACTCAAAGGGCAGCTGAGTGACAGCAGCTCTGCTTACAAGCCCAGCAGGGTGGGCAACACACTGTCCCCTCAGCTCTCCAGTAAGTCATTTGTCAGTTGGATTCTCCCAAGGCTGTGGCGCCCTGTGAGTTGTGCTCACCCAGCATCCCTGGGAGCAAATGAGTATGAGATTAAGACAGGCAAACGGAGAAGAAAACAGAGCCTGGGAGAGGTTTGCTGGGTGGTGCAGGGAGCAGGCGCTCTCCCAGGCAGCCAGGCCAGCGTCTTCCACCTCTATGTTTGGGGTTTCTGGGAAGTGCTGGGATGGCAGTCACCGGTGATCCCAAGGGGCAGACCAGCATCTTCTTCATACAAGTTAGTCCTAATTAGCCACAGAGCGCAGGTCTCAGGCCAGGAGGCAGCTGGCAGAAGGCACTGACCCTATAGAAAGTCAGGTCAAAGGCCAATTCCCGTGCAAAAGGCCAGAAAGTGAGGCCAGCCTAGCCCAGCCTGGACCTGAGGCCTGTCTAGGAGAAGAGGAGGCAGATGGAGATCCTGAGGGCACGTGTGGCTCACCTGCGTACCTCCAGCCCTCCACAACTGACTGACGGACAGGGGAAGGATGGCTCCAGAGGCCTGGCACAGACCTGCCAGCTCCCAACAAGCCTGTGGGGAGGTACCATTGTACAGATGGGCCCCACGGCCCCGGGCAATGGAGGGAGGATGGCCAGTCAGAGTCAGACAGTCCGGCAGGCAGGTGGACCCTGGCAGCAGCAGAGACAAGGTGGACGGTCAGGTGGGCCACTTACCCCGGAGCTAGCCCCACAGGTGAAGGGACCTGGAAAAAACTGTCCAGAAGAGACAGGAGCTGAAGCGTGTGCTGACCTCCGGGGGAAACGAGGACCCAGGGACAGCAGCTGGGCCTTGCAGCTGGAGCAGGCCCAGCAGCCAGGCAGGCTGGGGGCTCCTGCCTCCAAGGCAGCCCCTCTGAGGCCACAGCCCTGGCACAGCCTCCCCAGCCTGGCGCTGAGGCCGGTGGCTACGCTGCTACTCACATGTTGCTACAGTTGAGGAGGAGGAGGAAGCCAGGGGCTGTGGCCCTGAGGAAAGGGGAGGAGCCAGGAGACTTTGCTGTTGTCTTGACTCCCTCAAGGTCATTGTATGATTCTGGGGGCAGGAGGTCCTCCCTCTCCTGGGCCTCAGTTTCCTCATCTGTCAAATGAGCCGATTGGCCTGGATGGCTTGGAGATCTCTCCCAGCGCCACCCAGAACAGATCTGGTTGTTTTTAGCCCCAAACCCAGAAGCTGGAAAGATTCTGCCTGGGCCCAGCAGGGAGCCGAGGAAGCTCTCAGGAGAGCCTGGCCTCGGCCTGGCCTCAGGCCTGGCCAAGGACCCAGCCTCCCAGCATGAAATGATTAGCCCCAAGCAGGCTGAGTCCTGGGGCAGCCCCAGATCTGGCAGGGAGGGGAGCGAGTCTGCAAGGCATCTTCGAGCAGCAGGCCCCAGAGTTACAAAGCACAGCTCAGCTTCAGAATTCCAGACAGAGGGATGGCGGCTCCCTCACTGTGCAGCCTGCTCACCAAAGCCAGGAGGACACCTTTGGAGGTCTGGAGCAACTCAGAGGTCCCAGCTCAGGCTTGGATTGAGCTGGAAGGGGCCCCCTCATGTGACAGAAGCCGAGAGCAGGAGAAAGTCTTGCCCCAGAGATTCGAATCCGGATCCCTTGCTTCAGTGCATCCTGCAGTCACAGACCTCCCCACCCCCACACCAACAGCATAGATCTGGGAGGGGCCAGCGCACACAAGCTTCTCTCACACAACTGGCCAGGCTGTCCCTGGCCTTCTCCCAGATGCCATAAAGAGCGAGCTTGGGGAAGGAGAGGAGAGGAAAGAACAGGGCGTCTCTGACCTTCGCACTAGTCGGCTTCATCAGCCAGGTCATCAATCACACTGATTAAGTAACTCGGGTTGGGCCAGAAGATGTTGGGAGATTTTAACACAAAATCCAGGCCAGGAAGGCCCTGAGAAGCTGCTCTCAGGAGTGCTCCAACTGTCCTGCAGACCTCAGAGCTGTTCCAGGCTCCTCCCTCAGTACGGCAGAGGCCGGAGGCCAGGCCCTGGGAAGGACCCCAGCCAGTAGGAGGGGCTGCATCCCCTGCCCTCCTCCCTTGCCATCCCTAGAACAGCCCCCCTCCTTTCTTCCAGGAGAAATCCTTCTCCTTCATGAAGAGAAGCCACCTTCTCCGTGGAGTGACACCCCCATCCCCAGACAGACAGACAGACAGGCAGACACCCCCCTAGAAGAGAGCTCTTCCTCCCCGAGTCTCCTCACCTCCAGCCCAAGCAGTCCCAGTTCCTTCCTCAGGTGTTAATGGTGACATTCTCTTTGGGGGGGGCGGGGAGACTGATAACTGGAAGCCAATACCTTAGGGCTAACTGTCCAGGCTTTAAAAGGTGGGGTCTTGAGCCCTTAGAAGAGAAAACAGAGGGGCAGGACAAGGGTTAGTCTGGTTCCACTGGGCCCAGGGGGCAGGCCCAGAGAGATGGTGGAGGATGGGAAGAAGCTAATTTAGGAAAAACTTCCTGACAGTGCGAGCTGTTCCAGGGTAGCTTGGGAGGGGGTGAGCTCCCCATCTCTGGATGGATCCGAGCAGAGTTGGGAAGACCGCTTGTTGGGAATGGGAAGCGGGGATTCCTTTCCTGGAGCGGCTGAGTCGGCTCCCTGAGGGCAGGGGCTCTGACCTTCACAGAACTGGAGGGTTGGGAAGGAGCCCAGAGGCCATTTGGTCCTTCACCCATACTCCCCTTGTGCTGCTTCATCTCGGTCCCAGGCTCCTCCCACAAGTCGCCTGCTGGATGCCCAAGGGTGCCCCACCCTCTTTGCCTTATGACAAACTCAGCTCTCCAGAGCTGTGAGCCAGGCTCAGGGTTAGTCCAACCAAGGCTCTGTTTGCCCCCTGACTTTAGAACCTCTAATTCCTAGCATCTGCTGCCTAAACTCTGGGGGTCTGGGGGTAGAGGCTTGAGGCCGCTGGTTTTACCCGCAGCTCTTCCGTGGATCCTGCCCTGTGAGCTTGTGGGTACCCCAGCCACCAGGCTTCTTCTCTCCCTGTTTTGGGCGACACACTCAGTTAGTCTCCTCCCTTTCCCACCCTGTTGGCTTAAAGTCCCTTTGGTTAGATTCACAAGACAACCAGTGAAAACATTCTCACCAGCCTTTGTTAGGCAGACGGGAGTGTGTCAGCCCTGGGCCAGGAGCCCGGAGCCAAGATCCAGAAAGCCCAGTCTATTCTTGGACGGCCCTGGGGGAATCGTTTTTTGTTGCATCCTGTGTCTTCGATGGGCCAGAAGGGAGGGAAGCCTGGCCTGGGCCCCCCAGGCTTCAGGGCCTTGTCTGAGGCTGCAGCAGCAACAGCAGCGATGCCTTTTGGTTCTTTCTGTAACAGTCAGGAGGGAGGCCTCTGTGATGCTAGCGTGAAGCACCCAAAGTGGGGCACTGTCATTTGCTTAGATGAGTCCTCGGAAGGTCTCTGGAATCTCTTGGATACATGCCGGGAACATGGAAGATCCAGAAGATTGCCTTCTATTTGCTATCAGGTTGACAGATGGGGGCCTCGGCTACTTGTCCCAGCTATCTCCACCCACGTTTGTCCCTCACTCGAGCTGTTTCCCCAGCCCTCCATTGGTTCCACTCGCCTCTTCTTTCTTTCTTTTCTCCTCCTCTTCAAATCCGCCTCTTCAACCTCCACTTGTCCCCTCCCCCCACCCCGCCCCTTGACCTTCCTGGATTTGCCTTTCTTGCAGCCTGGAAGTAGAGTCAGGCTCAGGATTCAGCTGGAGCTGCTCCTCCTTCAGTTGCCAAGTTCCCCTACCCAAATTCCTCCTCTCACCTCTTTCACTTGTCCAGACCCCTCCAAGTACCCCCAGTTTCTTGTCCCACTCAGGTCCTTCTTTCTTCTCCTGCTCCTTTGCCCACAACCTTCTCTCATGGAAGCCCAAAGTCAGATGACCCAGGCCTGCATCCCCATCACCTGGCCTACTGTGTTGCACATAGTAGGTGCCTCCTTAATATGGCGGGACTGCTTTAAGTTTTTATTCACCTTAGAGAACACTTCTCTCTCTGTGGCCAGCTGCAGGCATCCAAACCGATGCATGTTGTCCCCATACAATGATGAGAGCTCTAGGTGGCCTGGTGGTTTTTCTTCCACGTGGAATGAGTTTATTTGTGTGAGAAACACAGAGAGGGGCAGCTTGGGGAGAAAACCAGACAGTCTGGAAAGGACCTGAGGGAGAGGGGGCCACACATGAGAAGCCCTGACTGGAGGCTGAAGAGACATGAGGAGTCAGAAGGTGGAAGACAGCATTGGAACGTGAAGAGTGAAGACAGAAGCTGAGGGAATCGAGAAGTGGATGGAAGGAGAGAAGCAGAAAGGAGCCTGAAGAAAAGCATCACTTCCCCTTTGCCTTGAGCCCAGTGGGGACCAGCCAAGCCGGCTGGAGCAGGCTCTGTGCTTGATGGGGGAGCTGATCTGATTGGAGACCATCTCTGGTGCTGGGAATTGATCGGAAAAAGCAAAAATTTGCTTGGAAATTCCTCTGTTGTTTGAAGAGCTGCCTGGAGAAAGTGTTCTTTGCCCTAGAGTTAAGTCTACAGCTCAGGAGCAGAACAACCCCAGCCCTGCCCAGAGGCTTTCCTACTGCCCTCTATGGCCCCAGAAGGGGAAACCCTTCAAAGCCCACCAAGAGCAGACTGGAGTAGCTTTGCCAATCTCTCACTCACTTAAGGAAACAGTCAATGAAAGAGTGCATGCTGCCACAATGTCCAGCCAAAGATGTGGACCTGGGAAGCCCTGCAGGTCCCAGACTTAAGGCTGCTCTTTGGTAAAAGAACACTTCAGCAGCCCGAGAAGAGCAGAGAAGCAGCCCCATCCACACTAGAGGAAAGGTCCAGCAGGGGACACTGGGCACAGATGCCTCCCTACATAAAGGCCTACAGTCCAGAGTGACAAGTCCATCAGGACGCATGGGTTTCTCTACTCCTGTGTCTCACTGCTAGGCTTCTATGAGTCTGCACCCCACTCTCCCCAACAGACACTCTGTGCATTAGTTGGAGGGTATGACCCAGGTTTATGACTAGACTGTTATGCTATGGTTATTATCATTTTGCCTTCTGTTAGTAAATATTTTGTGACTAAGACTTAATGGCGTCATCTAAACTGGTGTTTAAATGGAAAACCCACCAGTGGGGGCTTAGGAGCTCTAGTTGTCTCTCTCCACACCGAGGTTATCCCTAGCACCCTGAGGATGAGTGGCAGCAGCATGGCCCCCCCCACCCCGTTTGGGGGACGACTCCAGGTGGGTGGGTGAGGCAAGGGGGCCATTCCCATCTCAGAAAAAGAAAGCCTGGAGCTTGTGGAGGGCTTGGGTCCTCTGGGCTTTTCCTGGACATGCTGCTTTCAAGACAGCCTGCCCCTTCCCTCTTGCTCACCAGCATGGAAGGTCACATATCTCCTTCAGGGAGGAGTTTGGCCTGTCTGCAGAAGGGATAAGGCTGGGAGGGGATGGGAAGGGGAGGATCTAGAGGGAGCCTGTGTCTGAGCCTGGCTCTTCCACTTGCCACCTTTGGGACCTCAGGAGAGAGCTTTCCCTCCCTTGGCCTTGTTTCCTATTCTGTGAGATGAGTGGGGTGGACTCCACATCTCCAAGGTCTGCCTGTTCCCAAGGAGCTGCCACGTCCCCACCAGCCCCACTCTTGGCAGACATTTACAGGGTGGGGCCTGCCCTCCCGTCTCTTGTTGAGGGTCCTTCTGATGTCCTGCTGTGGTCCTGGAGGCCTAACCAATATCTGACCATAGCACAAGGCATTCATTCCTCTCCATGTTTATCAGCCATTTGGGTAATTAGTGACAAAGAATTTTAAAGCCTAAGTATTAGGATGATGGGACTGCGCTGGCCCCAGCCGTGGAAAAGGATTCCTCAGTGAGACAGACCGCATCCTGGGCATGGAAAGGGGGGCTCACAGGCCCAGGGAGGTAAGGGCATTTCCCAAACACCCAGAGACGGCCTCTCAAACAGGCCAAGCTTGGTGAGAAGGAGCCTTGCCAATGAAGGGAGAGGCCAGCCCGACAGATTTAGCACAGATGATGCACCAGGGTGAACAGGCTCTCTGAGCTTGATTAGGGGGCAGGGGAATAGGCTGCAGTTGGGTTTAAAAATAAAAGATGATTTGGGGTTCAGCTGAGCCAAGCATCTCTCCTCATTCCATTCCTCAGCATCCTGACAAGTGGAAGAAATACCAGAGTAAGAGTCTTGGGATGGAGCTTTACCCAACAGCCTTCACTTAAAATTCAGGTCTGAGGGGCTGTGAGTGGCTCACACCACTCTCCTGCCCCTACATGGGCTGTGACCTACTGACAAGGGGCAGTCCTCACGACAGGCCACTCAGCCTTCAATGCCTGTCTGCCGGTGCTCCTTGGGCAGGAAGCAATGGGCGTCCACACCTTGCCCAATGACTGGGGTCAGCTGTTGCTACACTATCCCTGGTCAGTCTTTTCCTCCTGATGGTGAGGAGACATGGTTGGGAGGCAGCAGCCCTCAAGGCAGGCACCCAAGAAAGCCATGAGGTCTCCCACATAGGAGGGTTGGGCTCAACCCATTGGCCTCTAAGGTCTCTTCTGGATCTGCTGTGATTGGGAGATCTTGGCCCTGCCTGGATAGGCCCTGGCTGCCTGCCACGTGGTGTCTGTGGCGGGCAGGGGATTGTGGGGTCAGAGGTGAATCTCTTCCCACCAATGCCGCCTGAGAGCTAAGGGATGGAAATGCCATCAGCCTTCCCGGCTGGTCAGCACTGATCGTGAAAGAGCCAACTCCTGAGGACCCCAGGAACAAGCCTCTGGAAGGTGGAGGCTGGGTAGAGGCCTGCTCCAGGACTGAGATGACAGGCAGCTCTGTGGGCACTGAGCCCAGGCTCACAGAGAGGCCCTCAGGGAGGTTGCTGCCCAGGGGACACTGGTTGGCCCAGGCCTCAAGAGGAGGGGTCCAGCTGAGGGCAGCAGGCCCCCGAACAACCCTGGAGGGAATAAAGATGAGAAGCCCCAGCTGCCTTAATCACCCACCTCAGCTGAGATGCTCAAGGAAGGTGTCTTCAATTAACAGCAATTAAGCTGAAGGATGTGGGAGGATGGTTTGTTCAATTGTTTTTGGAGGGAAGGTAGAGCTGAGCATGAAACATCAGCTACAAAGTCACATGATTCAGCTCGGGAAGGGGCTTAGAGATCACCCAGTCACAGGCCTCTAGGCCTGGAGCTGGCGGGGACCCCAGAGGGCCTCCTTTTATAGAGGGGGAAACTGAGGCTCCCAGATATAGGGCTGGCCGGGATTCACATGCCCACTAGTCCACTCTCCTCTGAAGCCCCGGGAGGGCAGTGATCTACCCCAGGTTACTCAGGCAGTCCAAAGCAGCATTTGAATCCAGGACCTCCAGCCTCAGTCTGGAGCTCCTTCCCTCGGCCCGCATGGTCTGAGCGTGCCACTGCATGATGTACTGGAAGGTGAGTCAGGAGTGCCCTGGCCTCCCCAAGGGCAGGCCTATCTGCTGCCATGAAGGGTGGACCTTAAACCACATTCAGAGCTGCGGGCCTTCCTCCAGGGTCCAGGAAAGGCTTGGAAAGAGGGAAAGGAGACCTGAGAATGGTTAGGATGTCACTGAGCAAGGATGCCTCCATGGAGAGGATCCTCGCCTTTATTTCATGAGGCTTCAGCAAGAAGCATTGATTTGATGCCCGCTGTGTGACTGGGGCGATGGCTCTGTGACACACAGATGTGTCACGTGGGATGCCCGCCTGCCAGCCTGGCATTCCGGCTGGCGTCTTGACTGGTCTTCCCCTTCCTGGCTGGCCCCAGCTGGCTCAGCCTCACGGGTGAGGGTGGAGAAGCCCCTTCCTTCTCAGCCCATCCAGGCAGAAGCTGCCCACCCACTGCTGCAGAATTTATCCTTTGTTTGGGGACTCATTAATTCACATTTTAATGGTTCCCTTTGTTTCCTCTGAGGTGAGAGGCTGTGTGGGTGCCCCAGATACAACCCTTCTGGGGGGCAGCTGCTGAGACAGAGGCTGGCACCGGGGGTGGGTGCCTGGCATTGGGAGGAGGCGGCTTCCTGCCTGGAGGGTGGGGGATGGGGAAGCCAGGCAGAATGCAGGCAGGCTTGGCTGGTCCAGCTCTGGGGGCATGGCATGCTTCCTCATTAAGACGAGCCTCTGAAATGAGTGAAGCTCTGAGCCCTGGGCTGGTCACCCGGCGTGTCTGCCAGGGCTTGGACGGAGGGCCCTCTAACATCCATTCTGATGCCAACAGTCACCCAGCCCATGTGCTCTGGTCCCTCCCACTCAGAAGGCCTCGAATGCAATCTGCCTGCTGTCCAGACAGGCCAAGCACAGAGAGCTGGCTACCAGCAGAGGAGTGCTCAGGTCAGAGCAGCTCCCAAAGACCTCATATGAAGGCGGCATCTGCACCTGTGAAGCACTAAGGGTCGTGTGGCAGCTAAACT